GGCGCCCGCGCAGCGCAACCAAATGGGACTCTCGGGCGCGCGCGTCGACATCGTCCGAGCGCCCTTGCGCGCGTGACTTTGCAGGCCCTGGCGCCTTGCGAAATCGTTCGAATCCCCTGCCGGCAAAAAACGACGCGCGCGCCGTCGCGCGCGAGCGCCCGAATCCTTCAACAATCATTGATTTCGAAAGGAAGGCAAAATCGAATGCCCCGAAAACGAATGAGACGCATGACTTCGCAACGTCAGTTCTTCATATCGAAAACTGCGCTCGCGCTGTTGCGAGCCCTCGCGAACGCCATCGGTTTCCCGTTCGCCGTTTCATTGCAGTCGGCCAGACGGGCCGTTCGCGCCGCATGTCGACATCATTCGAACGCCCTTGCGCGCGCGCGCTGGGAAGCACGACCCGGCGCCAGGGAACGCCGCGCGGGCCGCCCTCGCGCGCCGGCCGCGCGCGCATGCCGAACTCCTTTCAGACCTTCTGGCGCGAGGGCGCCGTCGTCGTCGTCGGCGTGATCAGCGCCGGCGCCGTCGCTGGCTGCGCTGTCGCCGTTGTCATTATCGTCGCCAGCGTCGCTAGCGTCGTCGCCGCGTCCACCGCCGTCGACGTGCGTTTCCACGGCGCCGCGCCCGCCCAAGTGGCCGACCCGCACTGAAGTGCCCGCTGAGCGGTGCCCGGCGGTCAGCGCCGCCGCGGCCGCGTGAGTCGCGCCGCGCTGGCTGGCCGCCGCGCGCGCGAGCGCGCGCCCGCTAGCGCGGCCGCAGATATGCGCCAGCCAGCGCCAACCACGAGTTGCAATCGCCGCCGCATGCGTTTTGCAAACAACGAATCACGGGCGGGCGGGCGGGGCGATTGCGGGAGCAGTGGAGTTGGCGACTGCGAATTCCACTCGTAAGTTGCACCGAGCAGACTGCGCAACATAATTGGCTCCACATCCATTGCTCCCAGGAAGTTGCACCTCGCCGCTGGCGCCAGATAGATCTCGCTGCCTATATTGCGCCGCGTCGGTTCTCGTTTCTGGAAAAAAGATTATGACCCCCCCCTCCCCCAATTCAACCGCCCCCTTTCGCGTGGCAGCGCAACTCCGCTTCTACCCCATCGTTCGCCTCAAAGCAATGTGGAATCGCATCAACCCAGCTAAACCGGCCATGCCCCCCGACAAAAACCAAACGCGCGCCGCGCAAACGCGCGCGCGTCGTCGCGCGCGAGCGCCGAAATCATGCAAACTTGAGGCGCAGAAAGGATGTCATAATCGACTGCACCGAGAACACTTAGAAACAAATGGCTTCGCAACAATAATTAACAAAACAACTTGCGCTCGCGCTCTTGCGAATCCCCGCGAAAACCATGGTTTCCTTTCAACCTGCTCATAAAATGCTCTCAGATGGGCTTCTCGCTCGCGCATGTCGCCGTCGTTCGAACGCCCTCGCGCGCGTGCTGTCGCAACACCCCCCTTTGCAGAAAACGTGGCGAAGTGCGCGCGCGCGAGTCGCCGGGCGCGCGTGCCGAACTCCTTGGAAAACCACGGTTTTCAAAGCCAGGCGCACCGAACGCATATATAAGCATACGATTGATTGTGCAACATTTTTACATTAAAAAAACTGCGCCCGCGGTCTTGCGAACTCTTCAGAAAACCTTTGGTTTTGTGCCTCGTCGTTTTCGTTGCATTCGGCCCAAACGGCCCTTCGCGCCGCATGCCATCATTCGAACGCCCTTGCGCGCTGGCTGGGGGGCACGATCCCGCGTCAAATGATACCATGCGGGCAACTCTCTCTCGTCGGCCGCGCGCGCATGTCAAACTCCTTCCGAACTCGAATCAACGATGCGAGGACGCCGTCATCTTCGCCGGCGTGATCAGCATCGGCGCCGTCACTGGCTGCGCCGTCGCCGCTGTCATCATCTTCGCCAACGTCACTGCAATCATCATCGTGTCTACGGTTGTCAACGTTGCCATGATACCGCGCCCGCCCATGTGGCCGACTCGCACTGAAGCGCCCGCTGGTGAATGCCCAGAGGTCAGCGCCACCGCGGCCGCGTCGGTCGCGCCAACCTAGCTGGCTTGTGCGCGCGAGAGCATGCGTGCGCTAGCGCGGCCGCAGGGATGCACCCGCCAACACCACGCACGCATCGCAATCGCCGCCGCATACGTGTTGCAAAACAAGTTGCGGGTGGTTTGGTGAGACGGTTGCGCGAGCAGCGGGATTACCACTGCGAGTTCCGCAAGCGAACTGCACCACATTGACTGCAAAACGGCGACTGGATCACGTCGATTGCACAACGCACATCTCGATTGGACGACATATTTTACGCAACATCAAATGCACCACGTGTAAATCCTGCACAGATTTTACGACGTGAACGGTTCCACATGCATTGCACAACGCAGCTTGCATAACATAGAATGTACGACATACATTGCATACCCGGGATTGCACCACGTATATTCTCCTTTCTAAAAAAGAAGACTCGACCCCCCCCCCCCGGACTTATCAGCTCCCCCTGGGATATTAAAATTTCATACATATATATATATATATATATATATATATATTATACTTATATATATATATATATATATATATATTCTGCACACTTGTCCATCCTAAAAATGAAATCATACCCTCCCAGGCAGGCCGGTTTCCCCCCCCCTGAGGGTCCCTTGTAAAAATCACTATGCGGTGACATTTCTTGCTCTAACAGAACACTTTTTCACGAATCCCTTGCAAAAAATGAAACGGAGTGCACGCGCGCGGGTCGTCGCGCGCGCATGCCGAAATCCTTCAAAAAACCTTCGGTGCCGGAAGGATTTCGCAATCGAGTTTCCGAAACAAAACATACAAAAACACATGGTTTCGCAACACTGATTTGCTAAAAAAGCTTCCGCGCGAGCTCTTGCGAAATGTTAAGAAAACCATCGGTTTTTCAAGATTTTTCACAACATGCTACCAAACGGGCTTCGCGCGCGCATGTCGAAATCTGTCGAACGCCCTTGCGCGTGTACCGTCGCGAGAATCCTCTGCAAAAAATGAAACGAAGTGCAGACGCGCGCGTGGTCGCGCGCGTACGCCGAAATCCTTCAAAACCCATCGGTTTCGGATGGATTTCGGAATCGCGCGTCCAAACAAACATACAAAAACCCAAGGTTTCGCAACACGGATTTTCAACAAAAGCGTGCGCGCGCGCTCTTGCGTCGTCGTCGTCGTCGTCGCCGTCCTCCCTCCTCCCGCGTCGTTGTCGTCGTCGTCGTCGCCTACGTCGTCCTCTGTCTTTCCTCGTGTTCGTCGTCGTCGTCCTCTTTGGCGTCGTGGTCGTTTCCGTCGTCGTTGTCGCCGTGGTCGTCCTTCCTCCTCCTCCCTCGTCGTCGTCGTCGTCCGTCGTCGGCGTCTCGTCGTCGTCCCTCCTATTTCGTCGCCGTCGTCGTCGTCGTCGTCGTCGTCGTCGTCTTCCCTCCTCCCTCGTCGTTGCCGTCGTCGGCGTCGCCGTCCTTCCTCCTTCTTCGTCGTTCGCGTCGTCGCCGTCCTCCCTCTCCCTCGTCGTTGTCGTCGTTGTCGCCGTTGTCGCCGTCGTCGTCCTCCCTCCTCCCTCGTCGTCGTCTTCGTTTGCGACGTCGTCGTCGTCTTCGTCGTCGTCGTCGGCGTCGGCGTCGTCGTCGTCTTCGTCGTCGTTGTCGGCGTCGTCGTCGTCGCCGCCGTCGTCGTCGTCGTCGTCGTCGTCGGCGTCGTTGACGTCGTCGTCGTCGGCGTCGTCGTTGTCGTCGTCGTCGGCGTCGTCATCGTCGTCGTCGTTGTCATCGTCGTCGTCGTCGTCGTCGGCGTCGTCGTCGTCGGTGTCGTCGTCGTCGTCGTCGTCGTTGTCGACGTCGTCGAAGTCGTTGGAGACGTCGCCGGTGTCGTCGTAGTCGTTGTCGGCGGCGTCGTCGTCGTCGTCGTTGTCGCTGTCGTCGTCGGCGTCGCTGTCGTTGGCAAGTGCCATTTGGTACCCACCGTCACGGTCTTAAGAGATTTTGCGAACCAACTTGCGGGTGGGTGGGTGGGTGGGATGTTTGCGCGAGCAGTGGAGTGGTCAAGCGCGGTGCAGGGTAGTCAATAGCAACCCATATTTTGCGCCACGTAGACTGCACAGCATATGTTGCTATAGGCACACTGCTTGGGGCCCACGGTGGCTAGCATATGCTGTGCCAGCGCACTTGGGAACACCAGCCCTACTTGTGGCATCCTGCGCTTGATACCACTATGCGCGAAAGAGGTGGGGGGCACAGCTGGACAATGTCAGCGGAAAGAACAATCAAAGTACTCATAGTGAGTAGTTGCAGAAGACGGGAGAAGGAGACCGAAAGATGGATGGAGCAGGGAGGGGGGATGGGGGCGGGGGGGAACCAGCCAGAAAAAAAAACCTTTTCCCCGCCATCGCATGGTATCCCATCCGCCACCACCTCGACCACCCTCCTACCACGAGATCCCTGCAACACCCCACAACCGATTAACAATGACGTGCTGTAGTTTCATCCAGAAACCCAGATCCCCCAAGACCCCGCAAACTCTCCATCTACTGCCCTTTCCTCGATGTTTCCACATCCCGCCCTTCTCACATATGACTTCCCCCTCCTGTACCCCTCCACCGTCACGGTCTCCTGAGATCCTCCGATGGAGGCCAGACCCAATGTAACATGCACTCACTCTTCTTCTCGTCCTCCTTTCCTTTTTCCTCCTCCTCATAAATTATACAAACTACACACCCCATACACTTTGAGGAAGTCCGCGCAGATCTTTGGGGAAAGCGCTTGACCACCCTCCCTTGTTGCACGAGGCGCGCCAGAAGCGGCGCCAGAGGCGCCACAATGGGTGGTCCAGCGCTGGCCCAAGAAACTTTCGCAGACCTCCAGAAATCTGTGTTTATGAAAATGTGTTGATCATCGATCGCTCCCCTCCGCGTTCTTCTCTCCCTCCCCTGCCCACTATCTCCGAGCCTCTCCCACTCCTCATTTTCTCCCCTGCGGCAGAGCCTGGCAGGGATATGTCGGCCATCACTGGGGGGCCGCCCAGCTCGGCGCGCTCCAGGATGTCTAACAGCATCGACTGCGCGTTTTGGACGGCCCTGGCGCTCCCACTGATTACAACCTCGCGGGAGGAGGACGGTACTAGAAACCCACCAGATTTTTGGCGTTGGTGGTCTAACGATACATCTGTGTGTATACATATATATATATATATATATATATATATATATATAATATACATATATATATATATGTATTCTCTCTCTCTCTCTCTCTCTCTCTCTCTCTCTCCCTTTCCAATTCCAAAGCCCTCTTCTCTCCTGGGAGGGGTCCCCTCCCCCTCCCCTCCCTGAGATTTGTTTAGAGGGGGGTCGCAACGGGTCGAGGGGGGGGTCCTTCTTCGCCCATTATTACGCCAAGAGGGTCCCTATGCTCCGAGATGGTCTCAAAGATGGCTCAAGATTGCTGGCGATGGTTTAGGATAGCTTCCGACGTGCCTCCAAGAGGCCCCAAGAAGACCACAAGACGGCGCCAAGTGCTCTCGGATCCCTGGAGCCCCATCACTTCCCCAAGAGGCCAGAATCCTTCATTAACCTCTGAAACGTGACCCGGTGATGTACATAACCATTTCCAACCGTATGGCGAATCTATATATATATATATACATACACATATGTGTGTGACCGCCCACTACACACAAACCTGTTGCAGGACTCGCAGTGCGAATAAGCTCCCAGAAGTACACACAAAAACACGCAAGGATGACAAGATAGGAACGGAAACACACGCATGCGGAGGAGGGTGATGGGGGGACAGACATGTTCAGTGACAGTAGCGGCGCCGAACGCGACAGGACAGTGCCATGCGATCTGAAGATGCGCGTTGCGCTGAGCGAAGCGCGGGCCGCAGAAGCCCACGCACGTGGCGACCGTTTCACACTTCGCAAACCCCCAAGGAGCCGCGAGGTCTCAACAGGACCCCCGGGTAACTCCGCACAGCGCGACCTCCCAGGAGCCCACGAACGTGTCGACTGATTCATACTTCGCAGCCCATCCAAGGAGCCGCGAGGTCTCAACTGGATCCCTTTGTAACTCCACTCCGCGCGACCTCCCAAGAGCCCACGAAAAAGGTAACAACTTCACACTTCGCAGCCCCCCATGGAGCCGCGAGGTCTCGTCTGGATCCCCGTGTAACTCCACTCCGCGCGACCTCCCAGGAGCCCACACTTAGTAGCCCCCCCAGAGAGCCACGAGGTCTCGTCTGGATCCCCGTGTAACACCACTCCGCGAGGCATCCCAGGGGCCCTCGAAGGTGGCAACACATTGACGCTTCGCAACCCCCAGGGAGCCGTGAGGTCTAAACTGGATCCCCGTGTAACTCCACTCTGCGCGACCTCCCAGGAGCCCACGAACGTGGCGACACGTTTATACTTCGCAGCCCATTCAAGGAGCCGCGAGGTCTCAACGGGATCCCCGTATAACTCCACTCCGCGCGACTTCCCAGGAGCCGTGCAACTCCACCCCGCGCAGCTCAACTGGATCCCCGTGTAAATCCACTCCGCGCGACCTCCCAGGAACCCACGAAATGGGCAACCTTTTCACACTTCGCAAACCCCCAAGGAGCCGCGGGGTCTCAACTGGATCACCTTGTAACTCCGCCACGCGCAACCTCCCACGAGCCCACGAAAATGTGGCGATTATTTCACCAACGCACCCCCCCCACGGAACTGCAAAATCTCAACTTGATCCCTGTGTAACTCAACTCCACGCGACCTCCCAAGAGCCCGCGAAACATGGGAACAAACTCACACGTCGCATCCCCCCGAGGAACCGCGAGGTCTCAACTGGATCCCCGTGTAACTCCACTCCGCGCGACCTCCCAGGAGCCCACACACATTGCGACAGCTCTAAACTTCGCAGCACCCCAGGGAGCCGCGAGGTCTCAACGGGGCTGCGGCGCACGCAGAACGCATGAGAGAAAATACAAGGAAGAGAAGGCAGAGGAGAGATGAGGAAGCCGCGCCCCCCCCCCCATCCCAGGAACCCACGAGAGAGGTGGAGGGCAGGAGAGAGGAGATGACAAGCAGGAGAGAAGAGGGGGGGGGGGCAGGAGAAAGGATGCGAAGATACGTTCACAGTGCCCTGTCCAAAACGAGAACCCAACACAGGAAGGGTGGGAACAATCATTATTGTCGTCTCGCTGTTTCGCTTCCCATGCGGTCCCGCGGCATCAAGATGGCCCCAAAGTGGACCAAGACAGCCCCAAGAGGGGCCGCAGGGGCCCCCAACACGGCCCCAAGACAGCCCAAGAGCGCCCCAACGGCGCCCAAGGAGGGCCCCAAATAGCGACATTGATAGTCCCAGAGGGGGACGGAACTCGAGGACCCCCCCTCTCTTGATCGACGACCTCCAAGATGGCCCCAAGAGGCACTCCAAGTCTCCCAAGAGGCCCCAAGAGGGCCTCACGAGAGCCCCAAGATCTCCCCCAAAAAGCCCCTAGAGGACCCCAAGATCCCCCCCTCAAGATAGCCCTGCGAGGGCACCAAGAGGGCCACGAGAGAGCCCCAAGAGGACCCTAAGAGGGCCTCCAGAAGACCCCAAGATGGCTACCAGAGTCTTCGCCGTCCTCCTCCTTGTCCTCCTCCTCCTCCTCCTCCTCTTCCTCCTCCTGCTCGTCTTCGTCCTCTTCCTCATTGCTCTCCTCTTCCTTCTCGTCATTCTTCTTGTCATGCTCCTCGTTCTCCTTCTCGTCTCCGTCCTCCTCCTCGTCTCGTCCTCCTCTGGGGTCTGGTCAGGCTGGTCCAACCTGTGTTCCGCTGCATGCATCTACACTGTCGTGATCAAGGCAACTCGCATGGGCATCGTTTCTGTCTGGGCTGGTGGGGCGACTTGAAGCGTCATGAACAATAAGCAGTACTCCCTGACGGCAGAATACCCCAACACAACACAATTGAAGAGTCAAGGAGACACTAGGCCGCTCTGCACGTGCGGGGGACCATACGGGAAAACATACAAGAGAGCATACGGTGGACCATACGGTAGACCACGGGTACGGGAGTCCATATGGGCAACCATACGGGAGACCCTACGGAAGACCATATGGGCAACCATACGGGAGACCACACAGGAGACTCTACGGGAGATCGTGAGGGAAACCACACGGGAGGCCATACGTGAGACCGTACGGGAGACAATGCAGGAGACCATACGGGAGACCACGGGCCACGAGCCACCGATCCTGGATCCAGAGGACCTCACACGTTCCCTGAAACATGATGGGGGGCCCTTGCAAGACGAGCTGTGTAGGGAACTGCATCAGCATAAGCGTCTGGAGGCCTGCGCGGATTTCTCGGGACGGCGCTTGACCACCTCCCCTGGCTGGCCCTCCAGCGCCGTCAGGGGGGCTCAGCGCCGAGCCGAGAAATTCACGCAGACCGCCGACACTTTGTGTTCATGTCGTCTAGTCTTTGGCAGAGAGGCCGATGAAGACGAGGCGGATGAGGAGAAGGGAGAGTTGCTGACCGCTGACCACCTTGCACGGGTTCTCCATGGACTGGCCGATCCGCGCTCCCGTCTGCATCTCGACCCTGGGCCGGGCCTCCATAATGCGCTCGACGGCGTCGGGCGGGATCTCGAAGTTCTCAGTGCGGTCCGGCCCGCCACCGCCGCCACCACCGCGGCCGCCTTTACCACCGCCGCCGCCACCGCTTTCACTACTGTTCAGCAAATCGATGATCGCCCTCTTGGCACGCTCGACTGCGTCCCCAGGGCCACTGATGCGCACCAGCCCCTCAGAATTCTTGTCGATATCTATCTTGGCGCCAGAGTCCCTCTGCAAAGAGTTTATCGTCTCGCCGCCCCTGCCGATGATGCGTCCGACCGCAGACGGGTCCACGGACAACGTGTCCTGAATCGGAGCTGGCTTCCCGCCACCACCGTAGCGGTCTCCGCCCCCCTTGCCGACTGGCATGCCATACCCGCCGGGCATACCTTGATCGACGATATCCGAAATGATCCTCTTGGCGATCGCGATCTCCTCGTATGTTCCCGATAAGCGAATGATGCCTGGCGTCGCTTTGCTGATGTCGATCTTGCACCCGCTGTCGCGCTGCATCTGCATCACGGTCTCGCCACCCTTACCTATGATCTTTCCCATCATCGAGTGTGGCACCTCCCCTGCCTCCCCTGACCGCTCCTGACCCCTTCTCTTCACCTTTGCTTCTGCCTCCTGCTTCTCCTGCTCCTCCTGCTGCTCCTCCTCCTCCTCGTCCTTTTCCTCCTCCTCCTCCTCCTCCTCATCCTCCTCTTCCTATCGAGAAGAATGTTCGATCAAACGGAGTGCGTGTAGGGACTCTGGAAGAGGGAGCTCGGGACGGAAGGGTACACATATATATACATATGTATATATATATAAATATATATGAAGGGTGTCTACATGTGTACACACAATTCAGCATCAGTGGTGCATCCTGGGATCCTGGGCCACTCTGGTCGTCCTCCTCATCATCCCCCACCGCCTCCTCCACCTCTTTGTCATT